TCCTTCTTATTGCTTCATTTTTATTCCTTTTATCTGTGCTCGGAATTGGCCGGGACATAAATCAAGGTGAACTATCAAATTCCCCGATGCTGCCATTTCACTTTCACAAAGGTGTTTGTCAGACGCAAGGACGCATCCTGTTGACAAGGCATTACCTCCCAGATGGATATGACGGTTACTGTCAATGTGTGTGTTTGTGAGTGTGTGTTGGGGGTTAACGCGATATCCCGAAATGGGGTTTGAATCCTCGATTACTACCTGCCAAAGGGTTGGGAGAGATTAGAGTAAGATTGGATTTTAGCCATGCACCGACGAGCTCGCTCCACTTTTCTGATATAATTGGATAGTTTGTGCCATATTTCATTCTCAATTGACTGCTTGTCACCAAAGATGCATAAATACTGGGGAGGAGGAAAAGGGAAAAAAAAAAACCCCACATTGCCCGAGACTCTGACTGACAAATGATACGGACAATCACATGATGCGGGGCTTTGGAGCGGCGCTCAGAAATGATCTGCGGAACACTGACGAGACTTTTTTCACTGTCTTATTATTCAAAATGATGATTTTGAAAGGAAAGCAGCAGTGATTGATGAATCACAGTTCATCTCGCCGCACACGCCACTGAAATACTGTTATTAGATATTTGTCATCAAAGTCCTTCTCTGTCCAAACCCTAATTCTCGTCACGCTCTGCAGCATTTCTTCTCTGTCAAATAAAGCTCCATTGTTTTTCTTTGTATTATGCCTCCATTCCTCATCTTTCTTCTTTTTGTCCCGTACTCTTCATCTATCTAGGTCTGTATCTGACAAAAATGAGTCCTCTATTCTATTTTCGCTCTCTCCTGTTTTGCCCGTCTCCTATACTTTGTCCTTTCAAGCTCTTTCATTCTTGCTCACGTCCTTTTTATCCCCCCTCACTTCCTCTCATTCTTTAATCTTCACACTTTGTACTTTAGTCAACTCTTCTTTTCTCTCTTTCTAGAATTTCTTATTTTCACCTCACAGACACTTTCCATCTCCGCCTCTCTTTTACTTCAGATCAAAATAATGTTACAATTTTGCAAAGAAAAGTTAGGTCTGGTGTCTGCTTGAAATTTGAATGGAGTAGGTATTAGCAGGGTGTTGCTGGTTTTGAGGACGAAGCTCTATATGACTGCTGTAGTGCATCTGTTGGGGCACCAAATCAACATTATTTAGCTTTGTATATGAATATGCTTTGAGGGAAATATAATGCAAAGATTCCTTAAAAAAAAAAAAATCGGTGAATTAAGAAGAACATTATTGTTGAACGGAAGTGCAAAATATTCATCGCAAATGTTTTTTGAGGATACATTCATAAAGGAAACCTATTGTGCGTTAAGACCAGGTCTTGGTCTGAGAACAACCTCTTCCTCACAACCTTTACTCCAGTGTAAGAACAACCGGCTACTTTAAGCACTGCCACAAATGCAGCTAAAACTCACTGGTTGAAAGTCAAAATGTCATCCAGTCATCCGGTGAAAAACAAAAACATCCAGCTCCTGGATTAAGAGCTACATTGTCATGGACCAAAGTCTTGGTTAGACCCTGGACATTTGGCTCAGTGATGGCTGTGGGTCAAAGGTCAGGGCTTCACCTAAATAAACAAAATCTTTTAGGCACAAGAATGGCCAATAGGTGTTTTGGTCGTTGTCGTTGGTAGTAATGCGTTTAAAATAAATTGTACTTCAAAGAGTATTTGTTGAAATACATTTTTACTCTAACTTGAGTACATTTGTAATTATACTGACTGAAACTACTAAACATTGAGCAATAGGCAATTTTGACACAGACACACATACTGAACCTCTCCTTGTGACACAAAGTTTTTTCCATGTTGTTTTGTTCAAAGAGATTAAACAACGCTTAAACGCACATATTTTTTCAATTGTCTGGTTCTGGATATGGCACTGTTATGGCAATTTACATGCACTTCACTTTTGTTATCACCTGTTGATACCAAAATTTGCAACAACAAAAAAAAGGCCAGGAAGCAAAAAATTAAACACAAAAATTGTTGCCAGCTGTGTTTTTTTAGGCATTTAATGGTGCTTCACAGGTGTTTCCTGTTATTCTGGTAAATTAAAGGTTGAAGGTGGTGTGCTGGGAATTACATGAGGTTACCAAACCCAAACGGTGTGACAGGGGTGTGAGGGAGATTTCAATCAAGCACAGACTGTACATGCCCAATCAAACCTGAGAACACAAGTGTGCAAGGTAAATATGTATTTGAATCAATAAAAAGCCATAGGTGTTTACATTTATATCATTATAAGTATTCTGACAATTATGGGTTGCATTTTTCAGTTTCACAGTTGTCTTTTCTTAACCTTTTTTCTTCTTCTTTCCTCTTTACTGTCACACAGCACTGTGGCTTTGTTCTTCTTCTTTCTCTCATTTTCTGTCCTGTTGTAAATCTCTCTCTCTCTCTCTCGCCACCGTCACAATGTCTCTCTCTCTCTCTCTCTCTCTCTCTCTCTCTCTCTCTCTCTCTCGCCACCGTCACAATGTCTCTCTC